TCAGATTTAGACCACAAACTAGATAACACTTTGATGAAGGTCTGGGCCAGCACTTTTGGTGAGAAATTTGTATTCAGTGACCAGCGTTGTACAAACACTTTTAGCAACAGTTGCTTGCAGTGGTTTCTCTCTCGTTTGGCGTAGGAGAAACCAACTGCTCACAGGGTAGCAATTGTACTAGCCTTATAGTGACTACAATGTTTTTCTTTCTTTTCACTGGTAGAAATATGAACACAAAGTCCCTTACTGAAGGCCAGTTGTTGTATTATTTCAGTTGTCTAGTTTTGTTACTTTTCAGGGTTGCATTGTTTCCAATACTTTGCAACTATCAACTTGAAATCTTATTGAAAGCCAAGCTGACTTTGTTTAACTTGGCTATAATCCCTAGTAGCCTTAACAGCTATTTAAGTCACTAGTCCTAAAAATTTTGCTTAACATACGTCACAAAAAAGTCTTCCTATAGAAAGAAAGAGTAGTACGTGAGTCAGATTTGTTTTTCAGGCCACCACTTAAATTTCATTGAAAATTTCAGATCCTCAACCCAGTTATCACCAGTGGTGAAAAAGTGTACTAGCAGTGTGTTTGNTCAACTTGAAATCTTATTGAAAGCCAATCTGACTTTGTTTAACTTGGCTATAATCCCTAGTAGCCTTAACAGCTATTTTAATCACTAGTCCTAAAAATTTTGCTTAACATACATACACACCTGTATGTCACAAAAAAGTCTTCCTATAGAGAGAAAGAGTAGTACATGAGTCAGATTTGTTTTTCAGGCCACCACTTAAATTTCATTGAAAATTTCAGATCCTCAACCCAGTTATCACCAGTGGTGAAAAAGTGTACTAGCAGTGTGTTTGAATGTATACTAGATTACTCACCTACTTTACTACTCATATACATGCCTTACACATGACGACAACTGATGCATTCTCCCCTACCATCCCTTCTATAAAATCCAAGCAATCTTGTGACTCCAGAATTCAGTCATTGTTTCAAGTTCAAATAAACGAATCAAAATATTTCTTCTGGTGATATAATTTGCCAATAATAGCCAGTTTTGCTGCACAATTTACCTTGGAAATGCTGTGCACAGAACTGCTCCATTTCTTTTCACAAGACCTGTATGTGTTTAGAATGGGGAATCAGACGTAAAAATACCATATTTCCCAGACTGTCATTCTCCCACAAAATATTTTCAGCTTGGTCAAGGCATATAAATCCAAAGCAAACCAGTATTATAATAAATTGTGTATCATGGTTATTTGATTTGGTACAATCCTTACAATTAGCTTGTAAGAGCATAAACAAATAAATAAATAAATAAATAAATAAGTAAATAAACAAACAAACAATTAAATAAATATTTTTAATTGACCACTCTCCCAATGGGGCTTTTCAGGGCCAATAAATTCAAATTATGAAACAAATAATGCAAATGAACATAGCATGATTAAAAATCCCATCTGGCGGGAGGCAGATCAGGTGGCTATTTACAAGCACGACCGAGGAGTTGAAGTAGGGTCTACCGAGAAACAACTCCGGCTAAGTGGTCAGAGCGGGACTTGAACCCCGTGACCTCCAGATTGCAAGTCTGGTGCCCTAGCCACTTCGCTACGCTGGCTCGTCTGCAGCATCCAGTTTTTTTCAGCTCTTGATTCATATAAGAGTTAAAAAAAAGAGATGCTCTCGTACGCTACCTTACCATAAGCACCCTCTTTCTAGTACTAGTTACAAGCACTTGGGCCTCATAAATGACATGATGCTCTGTTAAACACTTCCTTTTTTTTATANCAAGTTCAAATAAACGAATCAAAATATTTCTTCTGGTGATATAATTTGCCAATAATAGCCAGTTTTGCTGTACAATTTACCTTGGAAATGCTGTGCACATACTGCTCCATTTCTTTTCAGAAGACCTGTATGTGTTTAGAATGGGGAATCAGACTTAAAAATACCATATTTCCCAGACTGTCATTCTCCCACAAAATATTTTCAACTTGGTCAAGGCATATAAATCCAAAACAAACCAGTATTATAATAAATTGTGTATCATGGTTATTTGATTTGGTACAATCCTTACAATTAGCCTGTAAGAGCATAAACAAATAAAGAAATAAATAAATAAATAAGTAAAATAATAAACAAACAAACAATTAAATCCATAAATATTTTTAGTTGACCACTCTCCCAATGGGACTTTTCAGGGCCAATAAATTCAAATTGTGAAACAAATAATGCAAATAAACATAACATGATTAAAAATCCCAACTGGTGGGAGGCAGACCAGTTGGCTATTTACAAGCATGACCGAGGAGTTGAACTAGGGTCTCCCGAGAAACAACTCCAGCTAAGTGGTCAGAACGGGACTTGAACCCATGACCTCCAGGTTGCAAGTCTGGTGCCCTAGCCACTTGGCTACGCTGCCTCCTCTGCAGCATGCAGTTTTTTTCAGCTCTTGATTCATATAAGAGTTAAAAAAAGAGATGCTCTCGTACGCTACCTTACCATAAGCACCCTCTTTCTAGTACTAGTTACAAGCACTTGGGCCTCATAAATGACATGATGCTCTGTTAAACACTTCCTTTTTTTTATATATTTTAACCCAGTTTGTTTTGTATTTTCTTGATATTGGTTTTGACAGGTGTCCCTGTACCTTGATAATGGCCAGTTCTGCACAGGATCCTGACACCCATGTCAAGGTTTTAACATGTGGCCATTCAGATCACATCCTGAAATCTATAAACAGGCTTAGGAAGGAGAAAAAGCTGTGTGACATTACTCTAAAAGTGGGAGAGAAGGAATTCTGTGCTCATCGTGTTATACTGAGTGCTTGCAGCGACTACTTCTGTGCTATGTTTACTGGTGACATGGAAGAAAGTCACAAGTCTGTGGTTGAACTTCATGGGTTAGATTCTGATACAATGGAGTTTATTCTGGACTTTGTCTATACTGAGTCAATTCAAGTTAGTGTTGAAAATGTACAAGCTTTGCTCCCTGCTGCATGTTTATTGCAATTGACAGGTATATGTTTTTACACTTTCAGGCTGTTTAGCATGTACAGTCTATAACATAGATGAAATAGTAAATACAGGCCTGGTTAAAATAAATAACTAATAATTATTTTATAAGTGCATTAAATGGTTTTTTTTATATGGCTTTGGCTTGTGGCCAATATAACGCATGCTCTGATTGGCTAAGAGCGATATCTGAGCAGTCATTACGCAGCCGTAATGCCCACGGGCCGATTATGGATTATGCAAATTAGGAAGAGCCCGGCTCTGAAAATTCAAGCGCATTGAAATGATGCAAGCCGATTAAAAACAGTAAGAGAGAGTAAAATTAATCCGAGTAGCTGAAAGTTTAGAGATTTTTCCTTGACAAAATTTATATGGAAGTTGTTTTTGACTTACCAGCCGGTAACCTTGGTGAGCAGTAGTGAAAAACAATCAAAGTTTACCGAGTCTTGGGTAAAGCTAAAATCGCTAAGTGAAAAACACCATCAGCAGATCTGTCATGCATCCTGAGCAGAACACCAC